CTGAAAATATATCAGTTATTGGCAGCCATTGACTAGAAAATCTAGTTGGCATATTACATCTCATGATAATCTTAGATTATATTATATTTAACAATCCTGTATTATATTACATTATATTATGTTGTAAATACATATTAATTAGAAAAATTAGCGATTATTTTGAAATATTCAAACTAATTTAACCATTTAAAATAGAATCCTGTATACTTTGTGCAATTTTTTTTTCTTTTTTTTTAATATATATATACTAATCATTTCTTTCTTTTTCTCCTCCCTCCAATTAGGCTGAGCTACTTATAGTAATATTAATATTAGATTATTATTATTAATTTTTTTTCCTACGAATTTAGTCTTTAATTCTTATTTTCCTTTCTTTCTTTCTTTTCTTTTCTTTTCTTTCTTTTTCTTTCTTGTCTTTCTTTTCTTTCCTTAGCTTCTTTTTATTTCTTTCCTTGTCTTTCTTTTTATTTGTCATCAATTACATTTTCTTTCATTATCTTTCTGTTGTTTCCATACATTGTACTTTCTTTTCTTTCTATTCTTTCCTTTCTTTCTTACATTTTGTTTCTTTTCTTTCTTTATTCTTTTGTTGTCTTCTCTTTCCTTTTATGTTCTTTTCTTTCCTTTCATTTTCTTTCTCTTTTTGTTTCTTTTCTTTCTCATTTTCTTTCATTTATTTATTTTTTTTGCTTTCTCTTCATATCTTTCCTTTTTTCCCTTTCTTTCCTTTCCTTTTATTTCATTTCTTTTATTCTTTCTTTTCATTTTTCTTTTCTTTTCTTTCGTATTCTTATCTTTCCTTTCGTTTTCTTTCTTTCTTAGTTTTATTTCCTTTCTTTTCTTTCTTTCCTTTACCTTCTTTTCTTTCTTTCTTTGACTTTCTTTTCTTTCCTTCTTTCTTTTTCTTTTCATTTCTGTGGTGTTAGTAACTTTTCATTTTCTCGTTCATTTTTTTTTTTTTTCTCTTATACACATCTTCTTTTCTTTTTTTTCTTCGTATTCTTATCTTTACTTTCGTTTTCTTTCTTCCCTTTACCTTCTTTTCTGTCTTTCTCTGACATTCTTTCTTTCTTTCTTTCTTTTTCTTTTCATTTCAATGGTGTTAGTACCTTAATACCTTAGTACCTTTGCCTTAATTCTCTTATTTCATATTCCTTCATATCCTTCACAAGCAACTCAAAAGCCCAACTTGGAGAGAAGAAAAATAAAAAAAGCTATAGCTAGACATATCTATTATGTCTATTGAAACTTACTTTTAGAAAACAGTCTCTGATGAATTGACAAATTGACTGTGGCTCTCTCAATAATTGATGTGGTTTTTCTACCACGTTTACTTACTTTTGTCCAATGAAATGTAAGCTTTTTACATGGATTTGAGTTTTCACGTCTTATTACATGAGCGATCCAGTTTACTTGTTGTTGGCTGTAAAAGTCTTGTATAGAAATGGTCTTTACAATTGAGAAAAGTTTCTTGTTGTTTATTTTAAATGACCAGTCGGCATCGTCGTCAGGTTCTTCCTCCACTCGTTCTTCTTCCTCGATATTGGGCACACGGCATGCTACTACTGGAGACCTTTGTCTTTCGAACCTGTTAACTATTATAGACCTTAGAAAGTAGCTATAGAGTTGAGCTTGTTAAGTTCACTTTGGAGTGGTCTCCATGAGTGACACCCGTAGGTCAGTCTTGATCTAACGAGGCTGTTGAGGAAGGTTGACAGTGCAATGCTCTTGTTGCATAGCATCTTGCGGTGCTTTGCAAAGGATGCTCAAGCACTGCTGATCCTATGATCCATAACCCAATTCCCAATATGTATATCATCGTAGGTGTTCCATACACCAAGGTATTTAAATATCTTAGAGTTGATGATCCATATGTCGTTTACTTTGATTAGATGACTAGGGTATGGACCGTATCTTTCCAACGACCAGTTCCAAACCATGGTTTCCGTTTTGTTAACGTTCATGGTAAGACCGAATTCTGTAAGAACTTCGAATAGGATGTTTACTATAGACTGAAGCCCATCTTTTGTCCAACTATGTATGCCAATATCGTCTGCATACCCACCTTCAGAATCATCAAATGTGCCATTCATTGGCTGTCGTCTACGTTGTTCTCTGTTGGTGGCTTCATTCGGAATTCGATATGTTATAGATAGAGTATCTGTTCCAGCTTCTTTTCAGCGCTGTTTGAAGATTCTTAGTGTGTAGTCTATATACAGATTAAAGAGCATGGGCCCCTCGTTTTCCCCCCTGTCTAACTCCAAGTGGCAATAGATTTCACCGTTTCCCCAAATCTAAAGCAGTCAATATTTGTTTTATTGTATATACCTCATACAAAGATTCTACAAGGCTTACAAAAGTACTTACTTCCTAGCCTAGCCTAAACGCTTTGCTCATTTCCTTAATTTTAACAGCACCCATCGTCTTGCAATATTTGTTGAATAGACAAGGCTGATTTAATTTCTCTTTTGGTGCTTTTGCTATCGGTTTTATGAAGAAGTAATGCTAGACTAGGCTAGTCCTATTTAACTTAGTTACATAGCGGTCGCAGTCCCCTTTACCATCAGCGCGATGTTAAGTGAGCCTAGAGTTTGCACATGCGACAAGGCATAAAAGATGCCTAGAATCTATGTATGAAGTGTTGTTGTGCTGAACAATGATGTGGAAAATAATGGCTGGTATAAGTATACAGCCAGAAATACAACCAGAGCTTTCAGGCAACACTAGTATTTCATCAGTGGCAATATTATATTTAACCTAGTTACATTTGTTGTTACATAATACAACTATGATTTACCTTTTCCAGATGAGAGCCCACTGCTTCCAAAGCATCACTGACAACCTTCTCCACTCTGTTAGAGGATGATTGTGGCAGAAGTAACTCTCTGTTAGCTACAGGTTTCACAAGGAGACTTGATCCATGCGATGGTAGAATCAAAAAATACCCTGTAGGGGATGGTGCCCTTCCTCCATGACTGCTGTCTTGCTCAGCTGAGGTTGTATTGTGGCAAGCCAGCAAAACCATGTCCTGAAATCCATAATTGCACTATTAGAATGTTTTGTTCATCAACTGAAAATATTAGCAGTTCCAGAGAGGGGAAAAAGGGGGTGCTCCCTCCCACGTCCACTCCTGGCAGTAGCAAAAGAATCTCAAACCAAATGAAAAATCATTTAGATAAGGCTATTAACCAATTGAAGTACTCTAGCAGCATCAGCAGACACTAAACATAGTTAGATAAGCAAGCTTTAATCTTCACCAAATAGTGAATGGAACAAACGTTAAAAATTGTTGTTTTACATTGAAAATGGGAAAAAAAACATCATAGCATGATGTATACATACATAGAGGTTAGTTCAGTGCAATAAAATAGATTTCAAAAATTTTGACATTCCAGGATGTTTTGGCCATTATCTCTGAAACAGGATTTGCGACGAGTGACTGGTTTGGCTTGTCTTCACCACATATAGGCACATCATGACTATATATGGGCACATTATGACCATATATAGGCACATTGTGACTATATATGGGAACATCACGACCATTTATAGGCACATCATGACTACATATGGGAACATCATGACCATATATAGGCACATTATGACTATATATGGGCACATCATGACCATTTATAGGCACATTATGACTATATATGGGTACATCATGACCATTTATAGGCACATCATGACTATATATGGGCACATCGTGACCATTTATAGGCACATTATGACTATATATGGTCACATCATGACCATATATAGGCACATCATGACTATATATGGGCACATCATGACAATTTATAGGCACATCATGACTACATATGGGCACATCATGACCATATATAGGCACACCATGACTATATATGGGAACATCATGACCATATATAGGCACACCATGACTATATATGGGAACATCATGACCATCTATAGGCACATCATGACTATATATGGGAACATCATGACCATCTATAGGCACATCATGACTATATATGGGCACATCATGACCATATATAGGCACATAATGACTATATATGGGCATATTTTTTTTTCAAGGAAAATTTGATAGTGTGGACAAAGCTTTAGCATTTTGTTTTCACCTTTTCATGGAGATGCTGACAAAGAGCAGAGAAATGCTGTTGATTGCTGTCCAACTCTTCCCAGTCTAATTTCCAACACAATGTAGGATGCAGCACAAAAGGCGTCCCAAACACCTGAAACCACACACATTTTCAATCAAATAAAAAAATAACCAAATATGATAATAACATTACTCAAAATATTGTTTGAATATTTGCATGGCAAAGTAACTATACATTAAATGCTTGCAGTACACTATGTAAATAGTTCTTAAATGGACTGTTGTTTTTGTTGAGAATCAGGTTTTCCACCAATCAGCAGCAAGCCTCACTATCTCAATAATAATAATAATAATAATAACAATAATGATAATAATAATAATAATAATATTAATAATAATAGTAATAATAATAATAATAAAAATAATAATAATAATAATAATAATAATAATAATAATTCAAATCAAGTCTTCTATTTCGGAATCAAGATTGTCTATATTTACAGTACATAATAATATAATGAAAAAGGGAAAAAAATGGAAAACCTATCCCAATTATAATAATAATAAATAACAATAACAATTATAATAATTCAAATCTTTTATTTCCGAAATAAAGATTGTCCATATTTGAGTACATAAATGTAATAATAAAGGATGAAAAATGGAAAACCTACCCCAATAATAATAATAATAACAATAATTCAAATCTTTTTGAATCAAGATTGTCCATATTACAGTACATAAATAATAAATAATAGAATAAATAAATAATAAATCATAATAAATAATAGAATTGTTAACAAGGCTGGCAGAGTGATTGGAGCCGATGTGAAACCCTTAGAAGATATCTTTAAAAATGTTATACGTAAGAAATTTAATTTAATTATGCAAGACTGAGTCATCCTATCCATTATACTCAGACATTATCGTAAATAGATCGGGAAGGGTTAGACAATAAACAACACAAAATATCCACAAACCGTTTCAGACATTCAGCATTGTACATTGCTTGTAATTTATTTAATCAAAACTTAAGAAGATGACTACACAAACTCCAATTTTTATTCACTAGAGAATTTTTAATTGATATATATCACATTTATAAACGATTCTATGTTATGTACAAAAATATCTCAGAATTTATTTTTTAACAATAATCCTGTATATAATGAAAAAGGATGACAAATGGAGCAACAATTCAAAAACCTTCCTCAACTAAATAGCTTTAAAAACTATCATATAGGTCTAGGCATCAATAATTTAAATACTGTATTACTAATAATAATCATTTAATAATCAAATAAAATTAATGAAATGTTTATGATTATCAAAATATTTACTGTATTAACTTTAAACAATGGCTTACAATAGATTCACAGAGTCCATTGGCTTTGATCAACTTAATGGCAGCTAGATGTATGACAGCTACAGAGGCAATTTGTTGTTTGCTGCCAATGGAGAATGATTTGCAACTGATCTCGGACAGCAGATTCTAAAAAGAACACAGAATCAGCCAGATATTGAAAGTAGCAAATATAAAGAGTACAATAGCATATAAAAAGAATCCAAAATGTATACATGGAAAGTAAAATAATTACAAAGCATGATGATCTAAGGTAGGATACATAATAGCAAAAAAAAAAAAATAAATAGTATCCAAAATATATAATACTGTAGTAGGTGTACATTAAACAACTCAATTTCATGTTGCCTTGTTGTGACTATGACAATAAAGTTTATCTTATCTTACTGTATCTATTTTATATTGTTACAAAAATATACAATACAAATATGAATCACAAGAGGGCATTAATTATAATTAACAATAAGACATTACACCTTATTCACAAAACATTTAAAGCAAAACAAGACAGAAAGATTATAACTATATAGTGGATGCTCTATATACTTAGCCTTACAAAAGAAGATGCAGCTGATGGGAGTAGTGATGGACTCAGGATTTGTTCTCGTAGGTCACACTTCAATGTCATTGTACTACCATTTGGGCCTTGGGAAGAAAAAGGATGTTTTTTCTTTTTATCTATAAACAAATTAATTAACTTTATTTATTTATTTTTGTTTGACTGGATGTATAATTATCTATACTACTACAGTGCTGCTCTCCCAAATGGTACAGTTTTCTTAACAACAAAGTTAATAAAACGTTATTGATACAGTGCACTGTTCAATTTGAGACCTAATTCCGAGACTCCTCTAAGTTGAGACAAATTTTTAATGCAGTAAATAATAATATTTAATCTTTTAACATAAAGATAACCATCTAAATGGAGACCCAACCAAACATTGGTAAATGTAAGTATCATAAAATAATCAACAATTAAAAGGAAAGAAGACAAATTGTATATAAATAAAGAATAGATTGATATAATATCGTTACAATAAACAATAGTTATCATCATTATTACTCTCACCATCATGTAATGACAGGTGAAGATGCTCTCTGTCTGTTCCACAATCATACAGCCAGTGTTTGAAGTATTCTCCAATGCTCAATGTATCTGAAGGTTGAAGTTCGAAAATGTTAAGTCATCCACAATAGGTTTTCATACACCTATTAACATGTAGAGTCCAAGTCCATAGAAGAAATAAAGTTGTCTGTGTACTCATGTACCCATGTATCTACTTTGTAAATAATGCAGCACTAACCGTTTGGCAGGAGTGTTGTTTGCAAGATGTCAATCATACCCAACTCTTCACTGGATCCTGTGCTTGCGGGACTTTCAGTCTCATCCAACGGCACTCCAGATGCGGTATTATACAAGGTTACCAATTGAATTTTCTGATATCAGAAAAGTAAACACTCTGAATAGATTCAAATTAAAGTTTAGTAAACAATAACAAAAAATCAATTATTACATTAAATTATTCAATCACAAGCAAGTTACTAACTTCCAGAGAGAGAGAGACAGTACATTTTCCCTGATTTATAGACTTTAACACTATGATTGAATTGATTACAGTACCACCAAGTTTAAATGTCTTTGGAAAGGAAATAAAAGAAACAGTATTACAGCAGAAACACTCCTTTGGGACACTTTTTCGCCAAAGGAAAATATCTATTACCCCTATTCAGGAGACACCCCTATTAACGTGTCATATATTTTTATCCCAACAGTGTCACCTTAATAGGGTTTCTACATATTCATGTATTATTGTTAAGTGAGGCAAACAATTTTGCTCTCAAATTTTCAACTGTAAACTAATTTAAATTAATTATTAACTTTATTAACTTAACAAAGTTGGTTCATATTTTAAGTAACTGTGTGACTGTATTTTTGATAGTGTTACTCTATCATTATTAATATTATTACCTCTATTATTGTTTTTATTATGCTATTACATTACTATTATATTGTCATTATTATTTTTATTGCTATAGTATCATTATTGTTATTGATATTGCTATTGTTGTTAATAATAAATTGACATATTCACTTACTCTTATGACTTCCAATTCTATACTCTGGGCAGCGGCCTCTATTTTGCGAGCAATTGCATCAGCATGCTGACATGACAAAACAGTAACTTCAAGTTGTGTACTAAATCCACTCATCTTAAAGACAGACAAGAAATCTTTTATTAAATTTCAGATGGAAAGCTATGTTCTAAACATTGTTTTTATTTTAAATCTTCTGTAGAAAAGAAAACACACATTCTACTTATCTATTTTTTATCCACCTATATGCTAAAAACAACTAAATACATAAACACCTGGGTCCTCTATATATAAAAGACATTATCAGACCTGTCAAGTCTCATGCATCTCACAGGAGTCTCACTCATTTAACTTCGACCTCACACCCTCACGCGAGGTCTATATATTTTCACGAATTTCCAGAATTGCTTAAAATTATATATTTTAAATGTGCTATTTCCTCAAAACAAGCATTCAAAATGTACAAACACGACCCTCAGTGCTAACGATCCCATACCGGTCGTCACAGTGTTTGACGCCACCTCAGCAGAAACTGAAAAAAACTAAATGGGATATTAAAGTGGCACTTTGTACAATTTAAAGTGTTACAGCTTTTACAGTTATAATAATAAGAATCTCAACTAATTTCAAATTCACTCTACCTGCCTAATATGAGACTGCCGATTAAACTGCAGAATAGCATCTTTTAACGCCTGACCAAAAGAAGTTGTGCTTTGCCCTTCTTGCATATCAGCTTTCAGAGTTTTTAACTCCCACAATGCATTGTAAATATGTTGGAAGTTGCCTCTCACATTTTGTAAGGGAAGAAGACACTACATAAAATAACATATGTATATTATTTTATTGATTTAAATGTATAATGCAGAAGCATGTGGTGTAGCACAAGCACATTGTAACATGTGGTGAAAAAAGTATATATAATATTTATTTTGTTAATTTAATTTCATTATTATTTAAATAAATATATCTGAATCTGAAAAAAAAAAAACCACTGAAAAAATGCATTGTATATAGATTATTTATAAATATAATTAAAAGATGGTAGGCCTACCTCTGAGTATCGATGAAGGGCTGATATACCAAAGTAAGGTATCCTTGGAGGTCCAGCTAAACTGCAAACAAGTGCAAAAAACTGCTCTAAACAAGACTGTATGTTACTGCATACTTCATCATTAAAAGGTGATGCAAAGTCAACCAATAGCACATGAGCTGTATAGGGTATATAAAATCCAAAGCAAGACTATTACTTGGAGGAATCTAGGTTAATTAGATATTGAATTCCAGGGATCTTTCATTCATTCCATTATCATTCACATTGTATTATATAAAATAAATATTTAAAAAAAAACATTACAACAAACACTCACAGCATTGGCAAGTATTTTAACGTCTTGTACTCATCGTTAATATTATTAATATAAAAATATGAAATGCTTTAGCCTAGGCCCCACCAAACCTAGCGTTCACAGCCCAGTATAGAGAATAGAGAGAGGACCCTAGCAAGGCCGGCCTTGCTAGAGAGAGGGGTAGGCCTAGGCTAGTAGGGCTAGGACCAGGTTGGGACCATTTCAACGGAGAAATACTAGAGTTGCGTTGCCGAAATTCTAGGTCTGAAATTGAATTTGCTTTATGTTAACATTCTACACTGCTACATATTTTCATTACCCGGTTGTCTGCAAAATAAGGTTCTCTTGTTTGTTTTATTCGCCTGCATCGTAATTGATCGTAACTACTGGTGTATTTGTGGTGACGGAGAGAGAGGCGGAGATCGAGAGCCAGCCTTAAGTATTCATAGTCTCCAGGAACAGTCGTTATTTAAAGAACAGGGTCACAGCAGATACTGTACACTGAATCTGAGACTATAGAAGCAGGGGTGGCGCCAGGACCTGCCCGACGGAGGGGCTAAAGGCCCGACGGGGGGGGGGGGCTAGTGGAGCGAATCGAGTCTCACTGAATCGAGTCTCACTTGGCTGGGGCCAGGGGGCCGCCTAGGGCCCCGGTGGGGGTCCAGGGGCGAAGCCCCCTGGAAGCCACGGATATTTGATGAATTATGGCGAATTTTTATTACTTATTTGATAGGCATCGAGTTACTATAATATGACTTCATGTAGGCTATACTTTCTAATGTTGACATCAGCTTCCAAAACCAAAACATTTTGAATAAAGCAAGAAACAAAGAGTATGCAATGTAACCATCTAATTTATTTTCAAATCCTCATTCTTGAAAGTGAAAATTCTATATTTTGGAAATTTTGCATGAAATCTGTCAACCACGTTGTCATAGTCGCGGTTGCTTCACCTATCACGATGTATTCCAACCATCATGAGGCTATCTAAATGAGCATTTGTCATAACAGAACGCAAGTTATTTTTAATTAGTCTCATTGAATTATTATTATTATTATTATTATTATTATTATTATTATTATTATTATTATTATTATTATTGTGGATGTTGTGATGTAAAGTTAACACAAACGATATGGTGGCTAAACGAATATTACATGTAAATATTTTTTTTATTTGTTTGTTCCCCGACAAAC